TTCTTTCGTTTTTGTCCATTCTCTCAACAGGGTAAACACAACGACTGCTAGATCACTGACGAGTAGTAATTGGACGATAGAACTGATTGATCTAGAGTTAGCAATATTTATATCCATTGTCGCCAAACTAGTGAATCACTCTCATTTAGTTCGTACTCGAAAATGAAGCAATGTATCCCATAGTTCATTTTTTTTAGCAATACCTTTCGGTTGAGCATCACGGACGAAACCATGTCGCTCATCTAGATTGTGGTATTTGAACGGCCAAACTTGATGGCGCTTGCATAAGTAGCAAATTAAAATGATCAGAAACACCACTACAAGTATCACCAGCGGGATCACGATAGCAGCAGTATCACTCATTTTACACCCAAGTGAAATATCATGACATCAAAAATTCTCGACATCAAATTGTTGGGCGTAATTCACAAAAGTCAATTTCTCGGAATCGATGTACCGCTGGACAACTCATGAGACACTTCCCGGAACAGAACAGTTTATCGAAATATGCAAATTGAAGGAGAACAGACGCTAGTGACTGAAAACACGTTGGGTCAAACTGTCTTATATTACAATAGAATATATTACGTACTGTTTGTAAGAGGACCAAGAAAATTTTGATTAATTCATCCGTTCRCTATGCCACATATCGTATGTGAAGATGATGATAAAAGTGACGATTATGATAAAAATATATATWATTATTATGAACAAATGTGAATGTTAACAGTCCCGTGCGTCAATAGTGAAAACTATACTTACCATCACGATCATTCCACCATGCGTGAACTCTTCTTTTGATAAGACCAAATACATCTATGATATGATARAATTAGAAACCAACATCAAGACAATGATGACATTGATAATAATATCAATAATAACTGGCATGTTTTCATGTAGAAAATTATACTTACAACAACAATTATTCCAACATGCGTGACATAGTTGTATCARGCATACAGCTCCTCTTCTGATGCCACCATATATATCTACAGATTTATGTAATAAAAGCACTAAAACTTGTATCATATAGTAAACTGTGCATCATTTCAGACACTATGCGAGTTGTCTGTAAAAAATCCCCCTGGTTCCGTCACTACATTGCATTATGGATATAGACAGGAATCTTTTCACACGATCATTGAAAACTATGAATTCAACAGCACTAGGATCGAATCATCTTTAAACGATAAAACACGATTTCAAACGTACTTACATCTGAATACTCCCATTTCCATGTACAATGGTCAATGGATTCTTGGAAGCGGATATCTCAATAATATAATTTCGCGCTTCTTGGAAAATAGCGATTGCGTGACACAATGGTCCATCGGAAATGATTCAGAAACAACCACCAAATATAGAATAAAAAAAGGTTGCATTTTTTCAATTACATCAATTCGTTGTCAACTTGAGATTTCATATTAGTTTTTTTTTATGCACACAAAATGTTAACTTAGCTCGTACAGAGGAAGCACAGCTCGTTTTTGAGGACAGGAAGACATAATACACAAAGCACTTCATGACATGGTATATGGAATCAGAGATCAGGCGGTTACTATGGTATGGGGATCAGAGCCACTGCGATTAGGATCCAGCTGTGTTAACTGGGCGATCAGGAATCCAGTAAAAAATGGTATATACATGATCACAAATAAACAAATGTGAATTGTGAGTAACGAACTCTTTTTTCTCTCATGATTGTTTGGTGATTATATATAAAGATCGCCTTTTCCATCACAAGCAATACACGAGGCTACCATTATTACTAATCTAATACTACTGAAGAAAAGTGTGGTGAGGATTTCATATGAAATTCGTTCCCATCACATCAGCAATTTATGGACAAGAAAAGAAGTGATCGTAAAAGATGTCAAGTTATATTTATTTTTTTTAATTGCAATTTTATGATTTTTTATTAAAATCAAAATTTTTTAAATTAAAAAAAATAACAATAGATAATAAATTGTAATAAAAATAATTTTAATAAAAGTTAATTTTTTTAAAAAAAATTTAAATGTTTAAAAACTTTAATTTGAACAAGTAGGCATGAATGTATAATTAATAGGATGATCAGCATTTCTGGGAAACTCTAAATATAGGACCGTGACGCAATCAGGTCCTTTCCGCGAACTGACAATATGAACTGCGCATGCGAACAGTGAGAATTTCAAAGTTATTATGTTTGGTGACTGTGAACACAGTCAACAAAAAATATGGGAAATCTACTACCTACGTTTCTCAAATCACTTATGGATAATAATGCTGGAATGGATAATAATACTGGAAATGCCTTGGAGCCAAGTCTGACAATCGTCAAGGTGTTTTAATGTTTTAGATTTAGTTAAAACTTTTGCAGCACTCAGCTATCAGTGAGTTATTTGAAATGAAGTTCAGGTCGATTTGAAATATACGTTTAAAAGAAATTATTTGCATGCTTCATCGTACGGCCGTGCAGTCATAAACCACTCGCCGTGCAGTCATAAACCACTCGTATTATATATTGGGATGCGCTCTCTAGCTCCAGTGTCATGCAGTGTGCAAACTTATGTCGATGATGTTTCATTTTGAATACGCTTTATAACCCCAAAGTGTCGCATATGCTACTGAACAGGTTTCACATATAGAAACTAACTGATCGATTCTTAGTTTTGAAAGAGAAATTCAGTCTTGAACGACTGACAAAATTTTGGAATCAAATGTATCGAGAAAAACTACTACGAACCTCTAGAAATCAATTTGAAAGGAAATTGATGAACGTTAATGATATATTTCCATGCATTTTCAGGAGCAACTGAATAAGTACATAAATGAAATAGAAAAAGAAGTAAAGGACAGAGATAATCTTATTGAAAGACTCATTGAAGAAAACGAGAAACTTGGCAAGAAGATAAACCATTCAGATGCCTCTCAGATGGAAGTCGACGATAAGAAATGAACAAACAACGCCACATGAAGCCCCTGCAGTAGACTCTCTTTATTGTCTTTCATTATAAGCTCATTGCATCTAAATCAAATTTTAGCATGATTTTATATTGGGTTGCCTGTGGAAACTGATTATGTCTATCCACAGGGAGCCCAGAATTATAGTAAGAAATAGAAAAGCCAAATGTAGTATAGGCGGATTTTAACTATCCACTAAGTCTCCTGATTGGCTAAAAATGACTAAGCCACAATATATAGCTCACCATTTGGGTATGCTACGTGATTATGCATAAATATCTGATCGTTTTATTAAAATATAAAATGTTTGTTCACGTGACCCCAATCAGTTTCAAATTTGCCAAATTTGTTGGCGGGGCAAGTGTTAATATAAAGACAGTAAAAAATATTTGTTATGAATAGATAAACTGACTTTAAGGTTATTGGATGCTAAAGCACGTGATAGGTCCGTGATTCATCAACCACGTTTTAGAATCTTACAAATATTTACAAGTTATTATAATCTTTGTTATCATTTGGAAGTTTGCCGAGCCTCACCTTTAAGTATAAATAGTTTGACAAAGTCACTCAGGTTAAGTGAGTCAAGCGATGTCAATCAAGTTTTGTTGAAAATCATTGTACATAGATATGGAATGTTCCAGAGCAATCTTTGAAGAATCGATTTTTCGGTTATTTGCGGTTGATTGTYATATAAGCGTAGTGATTTTATCGTTGGATCATTACACAAGGCGATTTCCATTGATTAATATATCACTCAGCGAAATGGTATCGCAAACCGGCAATTTTCCTTCAGAAAAGAGGTTGTTTTTTTAACGTTTACATTGTTACAAACAACGTTYTTTAGTCTTTGATGCGTGACTAATAACAATTGATAATGACTATTACCCACGCGTTCTCGACAACCTCGCTCACGAAAGCTTCAATACTTTGCATTTCCACAACTAAGTAAGAAAACGAGTGGGATTCAAAGAAAAGTGGCTTATGAAAATATAAACAATGTCCAAGAACAAAAACAAACGCAGTTCAAATACCACTGATTCTAAAAATGACTTGGGGATGATATCTGAGGAAGAACTGAATGACCCGATGAATGGATAAGTGATTTTTGTATGCCATTGGAGCTCCGGAAACACGAAAAAAAATAAACTTTCCATATAGTTTAGCCGTTAAATCTATCAGATATCTTAACAATCTCCTTGGAACAAAAGTACGTACGTCAGTTCATGTTCAACGTATGTGAGATTTTCATCAAAAAAAKAAAAACACTAGATTTCTAACTGTACCGTGTTCAATTCCTATATTTTTGTATTCTGACAATAAAGTTACACACAAAGACGCAAGCTACGCTATTGTCAATTAAGCCTGCGAAATGAGCGGTGGACAATAGAATCACCTGTTCTTGTAAGCTCAAGATGGCTATCATTGAGCCTATTGGTCAACCATGACCGTGATAGAATAGATCATATCCTCTTGAGCTTGTTCGTTATTCAAAACAAACCTCATGACGTACTCAAAAACACAACGTTGATCAACGCAGTTATGAAGTTCATTGCTGGTTTCTTGACGCTGCTATTTCTACCATCCTCGATTACAAAACAATCACTGAACAAAACTACAGAACCGAACAACRTCTTGCCTAAAATTCCTGTTTACAAATTTGCAAAAGTAAAAACTATTTTCCTACGAGAGCCTAAAGCTCCTACCTCTAGAAGAGAATCAGTGGAYGTTCCTTGGAACCTGACAGGAGTCGACATTCCAGAGAAACCAGAAAACCTCTCCAAAAGTTTGACAGAAAAAAGGTTAAACTACGAAACATTGTGGAACAATGGCTCWCTGACATTGACCCTGGTTCGATTAAATATAGAAGAAAAAAATCYCAAACCAATCAACAATCATGTTAGTGAAAACCATTCCACAGTTGCCCATGAGGAAGGTGATAACYTGTTTGAAGCTTTCCTTGCGAAAGATATCGCATCCATTGTTCCTGATCAAGATTTCGTACGTGGGATGCGGAGATATAGGCGAAGGGTATTTGGCAAAGACAAGCGGGTAATAATAGCCCCAAGTCAACTACGCAARATTCCATTCTCTGCAGTGGTGAAAATCTCAACAGGCTGCACAGGAACATTAATATCTCGTATCCATGTACTTACTGCGGCTCATTGTGTTCATGATGGTTCAAATTACATCAGAAGTATTAAAAACATTAAAGTTGGATTACCAAAACATAATGGYAAGATGCGATGGATACATGTTAAGTACATCAAGGTACCTCAAGGTTGGACAACTGCGCAAGACTATGGCTACGACTACGCCGTCATCAAATTGGTCCATCGACATCGACGCAAAGTCTTGGACGCTGGTTCAATCATCCAGTCACGTGGTCGTATTAATACGCATTTCCTCGGTTTTCACCAAGACAAGTCCCCCCCTAAYTCCGTTTGGTATTCCTTTTGCGCAGCCAAGCCTCTAGACCACGTGATTGTCAATCGTTGCGACGCCAAGCCTGGTAGTTCTGGTGCTGGATTGTATGTACTATCGGGCACAGGGACTCAAATCACTCGGTACATCGTTGGTGTGCTGTCTGGGTCGGGAACAGTACGGTTTCGTAATGGCAAGGCAAAGCGGTTTAATATCGCTACTAAGCTRACTCCTCTGAAGACAGCGCACATTTGCTCATGGGCCAAGGCAGCGCCATCATGTCGAGGCCACGCCTTCGTATAAAAGCCAAAGTTATGTAAGCAAGATGACGTAACTCATGTGGTACGTCACTACTCTTATCACGTGGTTCAGTATATTCTTTCTCAGTTACAGTACAAAACGAAAAACAACTGAGATAAACTTTTTTCCAAAAGGAATAAATATATCGATATATAATTATATCCTGTATACATTTTGAATTTCACAGCATCCATAATAAAGTACACTTACCTGGATATAAACGATGCAGTGTGCAAAATTCGATTTATGTAAAAAARTAACCTATTTTATATGAGGAATATTGGCATATTATGAGAATATGTCATGTTTATTGTTATTCATATTTGGATTAAAGTCATAATTGATTCGGTCATTCGCGAATGACGGGAAGACTTGAACAACTTGCTTTGATATTTATTTCATTTTCTTCTCATTTTCCTATGTTCATTCTATTTTTCTTCCTGTCATTGTATTCTTTTCTTCTTTTTATTTGAATATTCTTCCTGTAATGTGTCATATTTACGTTATATCATCTATGCTGGTGTGGGGTTGATACTTCAAATACTTGTTAGCAAACACTTTAAATAGAGAATTAACAAGCATCTTCAACGTAACCCCTACCAGAGGCCGAGCAATACCTGACATTGATATCTTCCCACACAGGAATGCTGAAAGGCATTTTTCATTGTTAAAATAATAATCCAACCACTCAATGAACGTCTATTCCCTACTTACAAGGATTTTTATTGAATACATTCAATACAACGAGACTAGGAGTAGAGGTAAAAACTGATGATGTTTTTGATTAAAAAAATAATTTCAAGATAACACAMTGACMTKAATTGGGAAAGAARAAAATAAAAACAGAAAAAARAWGGATGAACCAAGATTTTTATGCCACGCGGAAAAATATTTCTTAAATTGCCGTGAAAACGCGACCATATCTTCATAATCTGGATGTCAGTACAGCAAGTCCTTATCTATTTATACAGTTGTGTTAAAAGATAAATTTAACACCGTAAAAAAAGTATGTGAAATAATTTTTACGGTGTTAAATTTGTCTTCTTACACAACTGTTTCTTTAGAAACACCGACGCAGCTCACACTAGTTTACCGCTAGTTCCCACCATCTTATCTATTTAAATTAGGTAGTGTAGTCAAGGTTTTTGTGCTTTAGATGTTAGATTTCAACTTTTCTTTTTCTTACACATCCATTTTGTACAGATGCATATAATTCAACGTTGTTATAATTAATTCGATCATACATATTACATACAATAATATATACATATCATATATAGCAGAAACTAAATCATGTTAAAATAATTACATCATAAATATTTGTATGACAYCAAACAATTGGATATTAATTATCATAGCTTATCAATACTATTAGTTAGCTRGGCTGTACAATTAGTATTATCTGAATGCTAAGATATGGCAAGACAACCAAAAGGAGAACCAGCCCATCTGCAGATAGTTTTAGCACTCTGTCTGGTGATTCTAAATCCTGCGTTGAAATATTTCAGTTTTCCATGAGTCTTATCTCTCACGGCTACAGACCCAGACAATACACCTATTATAACTCGATTGTGGTTGGAATCACTGACATATAGTCCTGCTCCTGAGCTTCCTTTAGACGCGTCACATCGTGAAAGGATGCTATATGGTAAGATCATTGCTTGACATGACGAATACCACATGGAATTAGACCTTTTATCACCAGGAAAACTCGTGAAGTGAATATTTACTGAAGTACCACKGGCCACACCAATGCTGAAGAATTTCCTTTTAACAGGTTTCTGTAGTTTAAGAACACCATAGTCATAACGCGTGTCTTGATTAAAGAACCATTGCTGTGGAATATTGTACGATAGTACCCCGAACCAACGATGCTTTCCATTTCGYTTCAAGAGTCCAACACGTAGTGATGATGTAATAAAACTAGTCCCATTGTGGATGCAGTGAGCAGCCGTTAGAACGTGGTACTTAGATATCAGGCTACCAGTACAACCCGTTGACACCTTGACCGTCGCCGAGAAAGGAAACGTTTGAGACTTGCTTGAGGTATTAATTCTTATTCTGTCGTCTGGAAGGAAGACAATACGTTTAACTCTTCGATTTCTGGACTCATTCCATGTTTGTCTTTTGGTGGAAGAAGGAAAAATACTTTCCACTGGTTGCCTTACTAAGTCCTTTGCGGTTTCTTTTTCTTCTTTATGACTTCTCTGGCTGTAGACAGGGAGATACCTAACACGCCTATTCCTACCCTCTTGTATGAGAAGATCCCGTAATCCATACCTGCCATTATCATGAGTGTCTCGATGCAAGAAAGAGTTCTGAACGAGCTTACTCCTCAATGAARTATCTTTATAAGCGTGTTGCTTGGTAGGTATCCCAAACGTAAACCTACAGACTGCCATGGCTACAAGAACGRAACWAGCAAGATGCATGTTGTATTATCAGAATGAGCAGCAAACAGAATTGTCGTGAACTATATATGCGGACTGTGGATTGTCGGGATGGGATGCTATGTAAGTAATTTACTGCAAGATTTTGTTCGCCATGTCAGTCCCACACCCACGTCCCTTAAGATAAGAMTGGCGTCGATAGTGGAGATTTGTCTGATGACCAATGATGGTTCGTCCACCCACTAAACACAGATATTTTTTAGTTCTTTAGAAAACTTGACAGTTTAAATACAGCCATTACGACATTTTGAAATAATTGACGGSTATAACATTAAAACAGGCTGTTCTGACAATCTTTCCCCCACGTATTGGGACCAGTTTGTGTTTAGACAGACGAAATATATTGTAAGAAATAGTTTGGTGCCGAATTGGTATGTTTTGTAAATATTCAAAGATCTTTTATAATCATTATTCAACATGTACTCAGTATACAGAGTATGCCGTGGGCGATTGCGATACAAGGTTTGTCTAATAACTTTCTCTGTTGGATTTCTCATACATTATTTAACTGCCAAAAACGATTTAAAAATGAATTTTAGGGCTTAGTGAATGAGTGACCTCAGGCAAGATGGCAGTACATGGACGAATGGGAAGAATGCCCCTTAGGAKTGATACTATCTTACGTGTTACAGTGATAATCGATCGCTGATAGATATTACAGTTTGCTAAGTAAAACATTCTAGAGACATACTGATGCTGGTTCACAACGAAACTGAGTCTTTTCATCTGCGAGTTGGTCTCCGTTAAAACCGCATAGAGAACAAAATCATAAAAAAAGGTCGTTAATTTGAATGAGCACACTTGAGATCGCCGACACATCCTTCCCTATGGCGGGTGTTATGGTCAGTTATAACCTGTGTGGTAGGAAACAACTCCTATGCACTGATTCAAATCAAACTTTGCCTTCAAAATCGTCCTTTTATTCCAAGCTAATTATTAATGATGATAATCAGTTTACCAGTTCCTACCAAGGCACCATCAGTATTATCATCAGTGAAGCTCGGATCAGTTTGATGCGGTTGAACCAGCACGACATTTTGTAACGCAAACTATCGCAATCAAGACGTAATTAACTCTTAGAATATACTAGAGGACCATGATTACCCTGCCTACGAAGACAACTGATAGCTTCGCCTACATGCTCTTCAGTAGAAGCATGTATAACCTCATTAAGATGACCACTAGATAGATAACAAAAAAATACTCAAATGAGACCAGTGGATAATGTTGCTGTGGTCGTTTTTAGGCAACTTAATGTCAAGGCTGTTCTGAAATGGAAAACGTACAATATGCACTTCTTTTTTATCTTTGTAAAATGCAAACTATCCAATGACTTTTGGTTATCAAAATCACCGAGCAACCAATAAAACATCATTACTTCGTCAGGACTGATCTCGTAATGTGGCTCGTTCCTAATTATTTCGCAGCTTGGACTTAACGATTGGACACACAAACCCGTGAAAAAAATACCTCAATAATCTAATGTCATTATTTTGTCCTTTGCAATGGAAAAAAAGAATATTTAAACAGAAATAATATTGTTTTATAAGCCAGATGTAGTCCGTGAAAGGGGTTCAGTTCATACCTATAAAACTTCAAGGCTGCTGTAGCTACTAAATGAACCAAACAAAACAAATTCTATGGCTAATGATTTCTGGAGGAATAAAAGTACAAAACTGATATTTAAGATGCTAAGTACGGCCTTGCTCTACTATGAATCAATACGCGGTGCACGACATTTTAGGGCGTGGCGCAGTCCATAAACAGAACAACTACTTGTCCATAAGAGAAACATTTCACGTATTTGATCTTTTATCCTCTCGTGGATAAAAGAATCGAACTTATCAATGCATTGCAGTGTTTGCATCTTAAATCAAAACAGCTTGATTGATAGGTCAAACAAGTCTTACCACTCTCGAACCTGGTTTTGCTAACGCTGTCTGAGTCCGAGCATATTATAGGTATTCAAAAAGGATTGCCGTTAAGAATGTACGAATTAATATTACTCCAAGATATTCACACAAATAATAAAACCTTGATAGTGATTCAATGAAGCACAAAGAAAAAAAAAGAAAATAGAAGATAGGATGGATGGGAATAGAACTCGTCTTTTGAAGCAATTTGACCTTTAATATTGCTCACTGAATACACAACACTAAGAGTAAGAAAACGTATTTGATATGTGTCTTTTTCCTTCTAGACTAACCAATGATTTATCAGAAAATGAATTGGCAGGCGAAAGCATGATTGTTTCTATGCACCATTCATTGAATCTAATTCTCTCATACCGCTAGTTCATTTTTCAGACGCTTTGCGATAAATAAACGTTTTACATAACTTCAGTCTTTTTTTAGCGTTAATCTTTGAAGGAATTACTCAATGTTCATGTCAAGGGTATTGTATTGACCTTTACTGATCAAAAACATATCCTGATCAATAAACTARGCAAAGTATTTGCGTGAATACTCTGTTTTGATTYACCRGAATTCCATTTGYGGACGTACACAGGTTGGTATWAGAATAATGTTTCGTTTTGGTCTTTATAKTGGATTTAAATTAAGGAAAATCAGTTGAAATGACTTCTCCAGGGATTTCACATGTCATATTTAGACACTAGAACTTACGGAAATAACAGTATTATTAATTTACCACTTGGCACAGAAAAAGTAAGGTAAAATTGCTAAAACCTTTATTGATATTAATAATAATGACATCATACTTTCAACATATGAATCATTACAGTACAGTCATGGAATTTGATGTATTTTATACTGAATAATGAAATAATTGTACAAACAAATGATATTGCGCACTTTGTTTTACAAACTATTGTACCCKACTACTTAAAACAACCATAATATTTATTTTTATTCAGCCAAACATTTTATAGACATGTCTTGTACTACAATAAATCTACAATACATTATACCAATCAAGAATCATACAGTAACATAAAAGTAACCAGAATGACACAGTTATGAAAATATTGATATTTACAATTCAGTCATATATGGTACATKAATTTTTTAGCTTCAATTCCTCAATGCAGCCAGCCTGAAAAATATCAAAATACAGATAAAATGAAAAGCAATTTATCATTATCAGAATTAATACCAGTATTAAATCATAGAGCAAATGCAGGAGAACCATGAAATAAAATCAAACTAAATGCTGACATTGAAATAGCGGCTGTTTAGAGACAAACTGTCAGTATCAGTGAACCAGAATGCAATAAAGATTAATGAAAAATGGTCCCATGTGGATTCCTCTTCATTGTGTTCTGGTTCATTGATGCTGACAAACTGTCCCTAAATAGCAGCTATTAGTTAGTTTTTAGTTTGATTTTATTTCATGGTTTTCCTGCGTTTCCTCTACTATACCTCCGTGAAAGTTGATCTTCCTCCTTTGCAGACCGTTCAGTTTCACTCTGTTTTAGTGACGATGTTCCTGGTTGTACTTTCTCTAATTCACTCATTATTTCTAAACCATTTTCTTCAGCAACTTGGTTGATAAGAGCCTCAACCTAAAGTAGTCAAACAGAATTTAACAACAGGGCTTACTATAATCGCCGAAACGAAACGAAACGAAACGAAACGAAACGAAACGGGAATCTGTATTCAACGAAACGAAACGAAACGAAACGGGAATCTGTATTCAACGAAACGAAACGAAACGAAACGGGAATCTGTATTCAACGAAACGAAACGAAACGAAACGGGA